CAAACACGAGGAAGGAAGAAACCATCAGAATGAAAGGGTCGAAGAAAGAGCTAGGATCCAAGGGTAGCTTTTAATAAGAAAAAGGGAAGAAGGAACTTGAAATGTAACCAACAAGAAAAGTGAAGCCCAGGGACCTCCCAGCTGGAGTGTGAGATAGTGACAGCTTCATTACAGGTGAAATTTGTAAACTGGGAGACAAACAGGGATGTTCTGGTTAAATACATTATTAACATGTGCCTTTTCAGGTAATCGTAAGTCTGAGAGTGTCCGTGTTAGAAGGAAAGTATGCGTGTGACAACCTCCACGGTGATGTCAGAGTGAACGGTTTGGCTTGAAAACTGCTGATGAGCATAGAAATCATAAATTGCACCTCACATCCCCCGGATTAGTCAGGATACAGGCCAAGCTGCTGATGAGAAGATCCCAAAACATGGCGGCTCAATCAGGATAAAGTTTCCTTTTTGCACGTGACATCCAGGCTGTACTCCACAGCGTCATCTGAGGACCCGGGGCCTTCCCTCCTTTGCTTGGAGTGTAATCTTGGTGGAAAAGGCTGCCCCCGCCCGCCCCCACCATGCTGTTCAAGCCACAGGAGCGGAGGGACAGGAATTGGCATTTCCTTCTAAACGGCGTTACAGGGGACTTCCCTGGTGGTCCAGTGGTGGGGACTTCGCCTTCCAATGAGAGGGGTTCAGGTTCGATCCCTGGTCGGGGAGCTAAGCTCCCACATGCCTCACACCAGAAAACCAAAACATAAAAAAAGGAGAAGCAACGTTGTAACAAATTCGATAAAGACAAAAAAAAAAATGTCTTTACCAAACACACCGCAGGCTAGAATTGGCACAAGTCCCTGTCGCTTGTCTCCACTGACTGGAATTTTGACGTGTGGCCAAGCCTCCTTGCGAGCAAGGCTGGGAGGTGGGGTTCTTAGCTGGTGAGCTTGGCCCCGGTTGAAACTTGGAATGTTCTCCCCGACAGGAGGATCAGGTGGACTCGGGGGACAACTGGCTGTCTCTGCTGCCTCCTCAGATCCCGCAACGCTTGGTTGGTTGGCGCTGGGCGCTCTCTCCCTGGGGCCCGCTCACGCTGCAGGGACCTCACCGGGCTGTGTCTCCCCAGGAGGCCAGGCCCCGGGTCTCCATCTCCAAGCCTTCGCTCAGCCTGGCTCCTCTTTGAATGATCACTGGGATTTCCGGTCACCTGGGCCCGGCTGGTGTTAACAACAGGATTTAGAGCTGCATGGATCCTGGACCTCCCGACCTGGGAGAAGTCCTTCCAGCCCGAGGCCCTCAGCCAGGCCCTAGTCTGGGGATTGGCTTGGCAGCCCACAGCGTTATCCCTTCGGTAGGTGTTTTGAGCGTGTGCTCTGTACCGGGCCAGGGTCAGGGATGCAACAGCAAGTGAAAGCAGGTCGTGTCTGTCCTGGGGGCAGATAGTCCCGGGGCCCCCACTGGTAACACGTGTCGCCCAGGGAGCAGCGTGGGAGGAGAACCGGTGCGTCCTTCGGGTCTAAAGGCTGAGTGAGTTTCTTGTCCACACTCTTCACCCCAACTTGCTGGGGGGTTGGGCAGTGAGACCTGGTCCCGGGCAGTGCCCTCGGGAGCCTCGTGGGCAGCCTGGTGCAAGCAGGGCATCTGTAAAGCCCGCCTATGTGTCGATCCCAGTGAGACAGAGCTGGGGCTGCTGTGCACGCGTGAGATCCCCTGGCTCCTCCACGTCCCAGTCGTGAGCCGTGAGATTGACAGCATCTGTCTTCATTATCACGAACGCCCCACGGGGTGGCTGTGTTAATTATCCTCTAGGCATCCCAGTTGCACTTTCCTTTCATTGTACTTTGTTTCCTGAATGTCTCAAGCCTCCCGAGGGGGGCTCCATGGCAGTGTTCGACTGGGCGGTTCCTCCGAGGGGAGTGCGCGGTGAGACCTTAGAGGGCCCGGCTGCAGAGACCCCGTGGACGTCCTCAGCCTGGGCCGGGGGCTGCTCTCAGGGGTCCTCTGGCTGCTGCCGTGACGTCTGTGGAGTCTTCCCTGTCAGAGCGTCCGCCTGCCCTGGGCCCTCATCGTGCACTGATCTGCTCATGTCATCAAGGTCTCTGAAGATAAGAGGCTGGAGGTGCCGAGAGCCACCCGCTCTGAGCGGGGCCGGGCTGAGAGGGCGGTCCAGGAGCAGCTGCCCCTCTAGCGGCATCTCTTACTCTTCACTCCCAGGAGCGCAGCCCGAGTGTTTAAGAGGCTTCCGCCCTCTCCGTTTGCGCCGGCAGAGGCTGGTCTTGGCCGTCTGGGGCGGGGGTTAGTGAGGGGTGTCTCCCGCGCTGCCTGCCTGCGCCCGCCTTCGCGCTCTCTCGCCGCTCCTGGTCCGCTGCCCGCGGGAGCCTCAGTGGCGCGGCCGGAGCCGGTGAGGTTGCCTGCTGGCTCCCGCCCCGCGCTCTGACCTCGGGGTCAGGGCGGCTGCCTGAGGCTGTGGCAGAGGCCGGCTCCTGCCCCGCCCGGGAGGTGACTGGCGCCTCTCCTCCGCTCGCCCCAGGCTCGGTCGGCTTTTCCCAGATCCGAGGCACGCGGCTCCCAGCGGTTGCCGGGGCACATCTGTCGTCAGCCGCTCTCTCACCCGCCTCTCTGCTCAGCGTGTCTCAGGAGCGCCCGGGGCGGCCGGGCAAGCGCTGCGGCCTGTTCTGGAGTCCCTGGTCTAGCGGGGGCACCACGGTGGGCGGAGGGCGCCCTGCGGACCCCAGGGCCAAGGCGGGAGAGGGGAGGGCCGGGCGGTGGGGTGGAAGCCGGGCGCGCGGGTCCCCGGAGGGCCCTGGGCGGCGGGGGTGAGGCGCGCAGGGCTAGGCAGGGGTGTGGAGCCTGCAGTTGGGTTGACCTGAGTCACCCCGTGGGAGGGAAGTTGGAAGCGCAGAACTTTGAGGTCACAGCCAGCCTAGAGGCTGGTAGAGGCCGGCCCGGGAGGCCGGGGCCCGCACGCGGACCGGCTCGGGGGGGTGGGGGGCCGTGCCCGCTCTGCAGAATCGGCGGAGGACAAAGCCACCCTGAAGGTCCGGAGTGCGGGCCACACGGGCCGGAGCCGGGGCGGCACCTCGGTGCCTTGCCGCTGACCCTCCGTGTGTGCCCGCGGCCTCTGTGTCGGGGCCGGTGGGGTGGTGGGCAGGCCCGAGTGGAAATTCGGCGTCCCCTGCACGGGGCGGCGTGGAGGGGTGCGGGAGGGCGTGGCGGCGCGGGGCCCGCAGGCGTGGAGGGTGGGTCCCGCCCTTCTGCTCGCATTTACCCCCCGCTGGCCTCCATCTGTGGCTGTGAGAGCGGCTCTCGCGCGTGGCCCTTGCGGGGGTGGGGGGTGATATGAAAGGATGCGGGGGGTGCGCTCGCCGAGCCCACGCTCCCGGGCAGCAGGAGATCCCCCGACCCCTCTCACCGTGATGGGTGTCCCAGCTTCTCCAGGGTCACCGGTGAAACACGCCCATTGCGAGAAAGTTCACGTAGGACGAGGAAGCTCCTTTCTTTTGGGAAATTTAACCTCAGGGGCGGGGCGGGGTTCAGACGGACACTCAGCCAGGAGCTCTGGGTGGGCCCGTCCTGAGCACCCACCTCCCAGTATGACAACCAGAAATGTCTCCAGGTGTTGCCAGATGGGGGGGCGGTGTGTGTGGGGGGACCGAATGTTCTGATGGAGCGCCGCCGGCAGGGCTCGCTGCCCTCTGGCCATGGAGTCGCGTGGCTCTCTTTCTCTCCTGGCCATCGCTGTCCCTGAGCTCGCCCGTCGTGCCCCCAGCACAGAGCTGGCTGTGGCTTTTCCCGCTTGGGTTCTTCCAGGAAAGCCATCTGTTGCTGCTGTGGCCCTGGCTGGTGGTGGCCGAGTGTCCCTCTGCCGCACATCCTCTCTCCACTGCCGTCCCGGGTGTTGCGGAGGCATGGGCGCAGAGGCCGGCCTGAGTGCTGTCGTGTCTCCTCGGAGAGCCTCTTGTATGCAGCGGCTTCGGGCTTCGTGCCTCCGTGTAGGTGGATTTAAGCACCAGAGGGATCCCTGGCCGGGCAGCCCTGGGGAGAAAACATGGCCTCTGTTGGGGAGCCATTGGGTGGGGACACAGGGACGAGGTGAGGCTCCGTGTGCTTTTCCTGGCGGACAGTTTACCTTTGACAAGGCTGCTCAGCTGAGCGGAACTTGGCTGCTGCAGAGAAGGGGGAGAGAAACCCGGACCCCTTGTTGCTGAAGAGCAGGGAGCCCAGGGCTCTGCTTGTGGCCGGATGGCAGGTCAGACAGGTGGGTGGGTTGGCTGACCTTTGACAGGAGGGTGGGAGCATCCCATGACCTGAAGAGGATCCTTGTCTCAGGCTCTTGAAATTGTACTTGTGGACGAGGCTGCTGTGGCCTCAGGAAGCTGGGAGCCGTGGCGGGTGGGGGGCAGGGGTCCGTGATGGCTGGAACCCCTCGTTAGAGCTCCCAGCCCTGGGGGTCCCTTGTGGACCTCGAGCCTGGGCCCCTGGCTGTGAGGCAGTGACATGGGAGGGTGCAGTACGGTCCTGCAAGTCTGTCTCCTCAGCTCGAAAAGCCCCCGGATGCACGTTCTGAGTTGCCGTGGAGGTTCAGGGAAGGGACACTGGCATGGTAGTTGTCGGAAATCTGGCGGATAGAAATAGCACCCAGGGTATGACAGGTCAGCACGGAGTAGTGAGTAAAACTTTCTGGAGCCAGAGCCCGGGCGGCAGGATTCCGTCTCCTTCCGGCGAGGGGTCCTGTCTCTCTCTGCGCCTCGAATGAAGGTCTCCCAGCACCCTCCTCAGCGTCCTTCCAATGCGGAGCGTGGCAGCCCGCGTGGAGACCCGCGGCCTGTCGCGGGACCCTCTGCAGACCCCCTGTCCCACAGGGCCTGGCCCCGTGTTCCTGGGGTGGGGGGCTGCTCCCTTGAGGTATCTCCCCAACCTGGGCTTTCAGACTTGGGGGCCCCTCAGACCAGGTGCCAGACGGGCCGGGTGGGCAGCTGCTGAGTAACCACTGTGTTCTGCTTCCAGAGCCTTCCCCAGCCGTCCCCCAGCAAAGCCCTGCACAGCTGCGAGGGGAAGGAGCCCGGGGACCTCAGGCTCAGCGAGGGGGACGTCATGGTCTTGCAGCACCGGGTGGACGAGCGCTGGTACCACGGCCTCCTGCCCGCCAGCCACGTCCAGGGTGTGCGGCCTCTGCCCCAGGCCCCGCCCCAGGGCAAAGCACTCTATGATTTCGAGATGAAGGACAGAGACCAGGACAAGGACTGTCTGACCTTCGGCAAGGTAAGGTGGGTTCCAGCGCCGCCCTTCCGCCGCAGCCCCTGCAGGGAGCCTGGGCGTAGCGCAGGGCCCTTCCTGTGCCTCCCCGTGGGGAGAGCAGTGGTTTCTCCTTCCTGAGGGTCTGCCGGGTGGAAGGAGAGGGCACCCAGCCCCACAGGCGTCTGCAGGTAACGGGAGCGGGACCCTCGTTACCTGAGTCACTGTGTGTCCAGGGCTCATGGGCCCTGGGAGGGGGCTTGCTGGGGAGACTGTGGCAGAGACCCCTGCAGGTCCTGGGAGTGGGAGCCGGGCCCAGAGGCCAGCCCGTCACACCCTCTTGGAGAGCACAGGAGGTGGATGCGTGTGCTTGGGCCACTTGAGGTGGCCAGTGAGGCCACGGGACCCGCTTAGTGACAAACCAGTAGTGTTTCCCGTGCGCTCGTCCCGGGGTGCGGGTGAGATGTGGAGGGGCCTGGTGTCTGGCCTGCCGGCCTCGGGGGTGCAGTGTGGAGAGGACAGAGGTGGCGGCCTCAGGCCTCGTGAATGTGCCTGCTTCCTGGCTTCCTCACCTGCTCCCACCCCAGGGCTGGGAGGGCAGGGGCGCCTGGAACTCTGGAACACCTGCTTCTCCCCGATGGCAGTAACGAGTTACATCATCGATTGGTTAATTACATTCATGACTGCCCGCCAGGGTCCCCGGGGAGAGGTGGGAGCCTGTCTTCCCGATGTTGAAGCTGTTGTAGGAAGGGGGACCCCTTCCAGGGCCCAAGAGTGGGCTCCTGTCTAACACTCGGAAATGAACTGTCCGAGGAGACGCACGTGCTGATGGAACAGGAGACTTCACGGCGGGGGGGGAGCGCCCGGGAGGAGGGCAGCAGGTGAGGGACCCAGGAGGACTGCCCCGCCACGTGGCTTGCGGTCTCAGGTTCCCTGGTGATTGGGTCTGTTCCCGGGTTGCCTTTGGCCGGTCATCTTTCTCGGCCTGTATTTGGTCTGCGTCAGGGCCCTTCCTGGTGGCACACACATCTCTCAGCCAAGATGGATTCCAGCGTGAGGGTTTCTGGGAGGTTGGCAGAGCTTATTCTGGGCTTGCGGCGCCTCCCTCCTTCGATCCCTCCCAGATCCTTCCAGCCGGTGGTAGCGTGTTAGTTCCGAGTTCCCGTCATGATCTCCTGTTGTGAGAGAACTCACGCAAGTGGTTATTACTGTGCCTGGCTGGCACGGTGGCTTTGGTCGGCGGCTCCCTAGCAGAGCACAGCGCTAAGAGGCTGCGTCGCTCGCCCGAGGCTGGCACGGGCCTGGCCCTCCTCCGTCCTCGTGTCCTGTGTCTCTGTCAGTCTTTTTCCACACGCGGTTGTCAACACAGAACTGGGTTCCAGCTCAGATCCTGACCTTGGAGTGCACGTCCAGCTCACTGTGATTCTGTCCTCTGCTCAGAGCAGAGCTTGGCTGCGGTGCCGAGCTGTTCGCAGGGCTGTGAGCACCGTGCGCTCCATCTTGAGCACAGTGGCCTGTTCTGTGCAGGCTGTCGCAGCTGCTGTTTATGTCTTGTTCCGTTGTTCAGCCTGACGACGAATGATCTGTTTTCATTCAGGGTTTCAACTCTTCCCTCTTCCTTCCATCAAGGCGTTCTGATGCTAATTCCAGTTGTCATCTGGCCCTGCAGGTTCCCTGGACGCAGGGTCAGGCCTCCCCCTCCCTTGCTCCCTCTCCTCCTGAGTGAGGCTGGAACGCAGGCTGCAGAGTGTGAGGCCAGGCGGACAGAGCCCCTCGTGCTCGCCCCTCTGCCCAGCCCACCCTGAGGGAGACCCTGGGCCCTGGTGCTCTGTGCCGTCACTCAAGATCGAGAGCAGGGACCCAGCCACCCCTCAGGGTCGATCGAGGCCTTGTAAGGAGGCAGACCGGTTAGGGGCTGACAGGGACAGGGACAGACACAGGGCCCTGCTCACAGCCTTGGTGGCGGGAGGCTCCCCAGCGGACACATGCGGGGCCGGAGCAGCCGGCGTCTCCTGGTGAAGGCCTCCCGCTGCGTGCGCGAGCGCCTGCTGGGACTCTCAACTCCAGGGCGAAGACCAGAGCCCACTGGATGGGGACAGAGGGGCACCTGCCTGTGCATCCCACTGGGAGCTGTGCTGTATCCGGGGAGCCTGACTTCGGGTGGGAGAGGCAGGAATGGCAAGTCCAGGGGACAGTTCCTGAGAGTGACGGGCTGTGCGAGTCACCCAGGAGGTGTGCGGGATATCTGGTCAGGAGGTGGTCAGTGTTTGGTTTTCAAAAGAAACGTTAAAGCCACCCTCGTGGGAGAAGTGAGAACTCGGATGGCTCGCTGAGACTCGTCCTGTGGTGGGCGCTGCTGCCACTTTGCGTCCCGGGGCGGGGGTGGGGGTGGGCAGGTCCCAGCGCCCTGGGCTGTGCGGGCAGCACTGTCGAGGTGGGTGGTCCTCAGGGCTCCCCGGGACCTGACCTTTGAGCCCATTTTGGGGAGCGGAGGTGTGGGAGCTGCTGGGCCACGCATCCCTCGGGCTGCTCTACCAGGGCTTGCTTTCTGTCTGTGGATTAACCTGCAGGGCTGGAGGCCCCTGGGTGTGATTCCGGTGAAGACCGTGCTTTGACCCCCCACTGTGTTCACACAAGCGTTTCGCCGGCGCCCCCCCCCGCCTTAGGTTAGGGTGCAGCCCCCCCGCCTTAGGTTAGGGCGCAGCCCCGTCGCCCGAGCACGTCTTCTTTCTCATCTCTCCCCTCGAGACGCCTCCAGCCTCCGCATCCCCACACGGCAGCTGAGGGATTCCCTCCACCTGCCTGGAATGCTGGTTCTCACAGCCTCTGTTTCGTCACCTGAAGTGACCACATGGTCCGGGCCAGCTTGGTTTTGCCTCCCGGGAATGTTTTGTTGTTTGGATATGTTCCCTTCTGGACTCAGCAAGGGAAGCAGCGGTGTCTAAAGTCCACGGATGGTGCTAACTTACCTTTAAAAAACTTCACTGTGATGGGATTGATGAGGTTTAAAAAGGCTTGAAGTATGTGCATCAAAGCAAGATTTTTACCTTGCTGTCAGCTTTTGAACAGTCCTGTTAAAATTGCATTAATTAAAGTCATTCTAAAACCAAAGTCTTTGTTTAATTGAAGAAGAGAATGAATAATTACTTCCTGTAAAGCAGCTATAAAAAGCACAATTTATAACTTCTTAGCAGTCCCACTCCAAAAACCTGGGCATGTGCGGATAAAAAGACAAAGGGGACAGTGCAGCGTCCCTGCTCTGTCAGCCGGTGGCTCCCAGCTGTCCCCCGAGGCCCGCGTGCGCCGTGCCTTCCACGTGACGGGGAGGGGCTGCGGTCAGGGGCTGCTGGGTGCAGGGACCTTGCACTTGGGATCCCCTGTGTGGCCTCAGCCCTGTGGCCTTAGGAGCCCACGTGTGTCTCATCTCAGAGCCATCTGTGCCTGCCCTGCAGCAGAGACTGGAGACCCGCCATCACTACGCCGGCTCCTCGGGGAGGACACAGGCCCCGTGGGCACGCGACAGCCCCCTGCTCGTCCTCATCTCACACCCTCCCACCCGCCCAGCCCTGCACGGCCGGAGGGGTGCTTTGAGTTGGCAAAGCCCTTTTCAAACACCACCAGCTGTCCTGACTTGGGCAGACTTCCCTCCTGCTGGTGTCGCCACAAGACCCTTCCACGTGATCCTCTTAACACCGCTGTGTTTAATCGTCCGTCCCTGACGTGGGGATTCTCTCCTTTGTGAATGAACCTAGCATTAATCCCAAACTATGTTCTTCTGATTGGAGGACAGACGTAGGTGGTTAGAAATCAAATGTATTTGAGGTTTGGACTCTAGAGTGAGACGGGTTCAGATTGTGACACTTTCACTTTTATACGGTGATTTGGGGACATCAACTTCACCTCTGAGTCTCTTTTTTGATGATAAAATGGAGTTGATAGGATTCAATGAACAAAGGCATTTAGGGAACCAACCTCAAAATAGGCACTCAGCCATTTCTGGCTTCCACCCTCGCTGGCTTCCTGCTCTGTCAGACGCGCGTCACTTTTTGTGTTGGCCTGGGACGCTCGTGGCGGGGGAGATGGGCCTCCTGCACACACCCCCGCTGCCTGGAGCTGAGACTCTGCGGACAGGTCGCCTGTACCTGTATTGTCCCAGTGGCTGCGTCTTGCAGAGGCTTGCCCAGCGGTGTGGAACCCCTGAGCCCTTCTGTCAAGGCCGCCGTGCCCATCGTGGGCAGCCCAGACCCACTGCATGTCCTCTGTCCCGAGGGGCAGTTGGGATGCTCTCCGGGCTGGAAGACTCGGGGACCTAGCGACCAAAGCGGGTGAGCCTGAGGGAGCAGGCAGTGCTGCATTCTGCTCGGGCTGGGCGGCTCCCAGACCCGCCCTACAGCTGGGCAGCAGCCTGCGGGCTCCTCCATGGAGGCGGCTTTCCTAAGGGGACCAACCCCCCCAGAGGCTCAGAGCAGGTTGGGCTCTGAAGACTGTCCCTTCTCTGGGCGGCAGGCGGGGTTGGAGGAGCCCTCCCAGCCCCCAGCAGCGTCTGGAGCTCAGCTGCGGTGCGCAAGCCAGGAAAGAGGGCACAGCCCAGCAGCCGGGCCCTTCAGAGCCTCCCCTGGGGCCCCGGAGCCATCGGGGGAGTCTTGTGCTGTGTCTGCAGCAGAAGGTGCAGGGAGTTTGTGAGCTCTTTCCTTTGGGATTTTCCCTTTTCTCTGGGACCGGAGTGACGGGCGCTCTGTCTGCAGCTGACGGTGAGGGACTGTCAGGGATGGGGCAGCGCGAGGTGGCCGCGGCCGTGGCCCGGCTGAGCGGGCGTCCGCACTGAGTGGACAGGCCGCATGGCCACGTTTCAGAAGGGCCATCCTGGTGTCTGCCCCTTGGTGCCTCTTGGAAACCACTTAGTTGCAGTAAGAGGAGCGGAGGCACAGGGAGGCCCCCGGGAGGGTGGGCAGCCGGCCCGTGTCCAGGTCCCGTGCGTGTGATCTGCCCCACGGCGCGTTTAGGAAACTGTCAGGCCCCAGAGGCTG